CCCCCATAACAAAAACCCCTCCAAAAAAAAAAAAATGCATACATACCCTATTGCAAAAATCTCTTTAAAAGAAAAACATTTAAAGAATTATTTAATTTTATTATTGTTATTATTACTAACTTTGTATTAAAAAACATGTATTCACCAGAGAGAGAGAATGTCAAAGCAAGCTTCCAGGTCCAGGATTTGAACTGTGGTGTCAGCCATATGGAAATCCAGCACCTTAACCACCACACTATCTGCTGGCCCACAAATAATCTTTATTTAAAAATTGGGCCTGCAGATGGAATAGCAATTATGTCACTGGATTCCCACATGGCCAACTGTGGTTCAAGTCACAGACCTGTGACTTAAAAACATGCCACGGGCATGTGCATGTATGCTCAAGATCCCAGGAGGAAAATGGAGGAGAATGGATTGCTGTGTGGCCATCCCCCCTTGGGGGTGTGAATTCTCACTTTCCCTCTTACTAACTGTCCATCTCTCTCCCTCACTCTTGCGTGCGCTCTCCAAAAGATTAAAGGAGCCGGCAAGGTGGCATATGGTTAAGGCACTGGACTCCTACATGACTGGACACAGTTCTAGTCCTGGACCTGGTGGCTTGCTTTCTCACTTTCCCTCTCTCTCACTCTATTTCTCTCTGATCAAATTGTAAAAATAACAATAATAATTATAAATAAAATTGAACAGGTAATCTTTAAAAAAAAGAGAGAGTATTTCCAGGCTCAGCCACTGTGGCACAGGCAGTAGTGGTAATGCTGTGTGATCCTAAAAGCCTATATATAGAAAGGCTCTAGATTTATTTATTTATTTATTTTTAAAGAATTATTTATTTAACTTAATTATTATTCAATTTGATGAGAAACTGAGACAGAGAGAAAAGAGCAAACTTCCAGGTCCAGGACATTAACTGTGGTCAGCCATGTGGGAATCCAGCACCTCAACCACCCCACCACCTGCCAGCCCAGAGTTCTAGATTTCTATCAAGTCTACCTAAACATTGCACAATCTTGGCAGGGTGCAGGGGTTGGGGGGGAGATCATAGCTGTAGATCATAGCTTGAAGACCCTGTGAAGGGTACCTGTCTCCCTCTCCCTATCTCTCTATCTGTGACTCTTTTTTAAAAAAAGATTTATGGGGACCAGCAGATGGCGTAATGGTTATGTTCCAGACTCCCACATAGTCGACTACGGTTCGAGTCCCAGGCCCAGTGGCTTAAAACTCACACTGGGCGTGTGCATGCATGCCCAAAATCCCTTGAGGAGACTGGAGGAGACAGGATTGCAGCATGGCCATCACCCCTGATGGGTGATTTCTCTCTTTCTATCTCTCTGTTTGTCTCTGTCTCTCCAGCGAGCATATACACCCTATAGAAGAAACCTCTCTTTAAAAATAAAAAAGAAAAGAGGACCAGCAGTTGGTGTAATGGCTATGTCACTGGACTCCCGTGTAGTCGACCACGGTTCAAGACCCAGTGGCTTAAACTCATGCTGGGTGCACATGCGTGTGTGCCCAAGATGCCTAGAGGAGAATGGAGGAGAACGGATTGTGACATGGCCATGCCCCTTTGGGGGGTGATTTCTCACTTTCTGTCTCTCTGTCTCTTTGTCTTTCTGGTGAGCGCATGCATCCTATAGCGAAAACCTCTCCAACAATTAAAAAAAATAAATTAAAAAAAAAAAACAGCAAATGGAATTAAATAAATAAATAATTCTCTTTTGTTAAATAAAGAAAGTAAAATAAAATGAGGGCCAGTTGTTAAGGGAGCTGAATCCCACATGGCTGACAGTGGTTCATATCCTGGCCCAGTGGTTTGAAAAACCAGGGATGTGTTGCATATATGTGCCCCAGTTCTAACATGATGAAGAAATGGAAGGGAAGGGATTGCAGTGTGACTATGTCCCTCCCACTGGGGGTTACTTTCTTCTCTCTCTCTGGCAAGTGTACCACCCTCTGTCAATATTAAAAAAAAAAAAAAAAAATCTACTTTAGAGTTCGAATTAGCTGGCAAGAGAATCTGTATCTTGTCTCTTTATAGGCCAAAGGTCTACGATTGTTCAGTAACACCATTAATTCTTCAGTAAAAGCTGAGGAAAAATTATGAACCTACAGTTCGAATCTGTTATCCCTTCTCAATCATTCTAAATGTCTGTCTTTAATTCATTCAAATATATATAAATTGAGTGCCTACTACTGTTCTAAGTACTTGGGTTAGGGCAGTGAATAAAAAACAAAGGTGCCTCTCTCTTGGCATTTTCATTCTAACACGGAAGATACATATTAAATATATTGTATATTAGAAGCTGGCAAATGCTATAGCAGAAGAAGTCAAGCCTAGTAAAGGGGATAGTTTAGGGTACAAGTAGCAATTTTATTATTTATTTTTTAATTCCCAGAAAGCACGTGCACACTTACCAGAGAGAGACAGAGAAAAAGAGAGGTAGAAGGAGGAATCACCCCCACTGGGGTGTGGTCATGCCACAATCCCTTCTTCATTTCTCCATCCTGTCGGGATTTGGGGCATGAACGCACATACACCTGGCATGTTTCCCAAACCCCCAGGGCTGGGACGCAAACCACATGGTTGGCCATAAGGTATCTGGCTCCTTTAACCATAGGCCACAGGGCTGGCCCAGCAACTTTAAATATGGGAGTCTGAGTAGGCCTCACTGAGGTGACGTGTTTAAGCAAAAACATGGAGGAGGAGGAGTAATCTTAGGATTCCAGAACAGCTAGGCCATTTTCACAGCACTAGGAACCTGGTGCATTTGTTCTCTTTGGGAAGAGCTACTGCCCCTCCCCAAGCAGGTCCATTGGTGTGAAAACAGCATGTCTGAGGACTGGAGAAGATCTTTTTTTTTTTTTTTTTTTTTGGAGAGATTTTCACTGTAGGGCGCGTGCGCTCGCCAGACAGACAGAGAGAGACATAGAGACAGAAAGCGAGAAATCACCCCCCAGGGGGGATGGTCACGCCGCAATCCCTTCTCCTCCATTCTCCTCTCGGGATCTTGGGCACGCACGCACACGCGCCCAGCGTGAGTTTTAAGCCACCGGGTCCGGGACACGAACTGCGGTCGACTACGTGGGAGTCCAGTGACATAGCCATTACGCTAACTGCTGGTTCCCAGGACTGGAGAAGATCTTGAAAAGTCACTTCATCGAGTCCCATCTTTGCTCATTACATTTTCTCTAACACCTGGGAGGGGGCCTCTTTCCACCTGGGTTTTTCTCTTTTATAAGCTATCACCTCCAGCCAGGCCAGCCTTCTCACAGTGTTACCTTTCATCTTTACAACAACCCTGTGAGGTAGCAGCACATTGTATTGTGTCCACTTCTCACTGAGGTATGAGGAGGTGGCCGTACTGCCAGGAAGCGGCTGAGGCACAGGCCTGGATTCCTTCCGTGCCACCCCATGTCTCTGCTCACCATCTCCCTTTCTCTGATTCATCCCTTTCTTTCTAGACCAGCATTCTCAAAACTGGAGGACTCCTTTGAGGCCCTCTCCCTGTACCTGGGAGAACTGGGTATCCCTCTGCCTGCAGAGCTGGAAGAGCTGGACCACACTGTGAGCATGCAGTACGGCCTAACCCGGGACTCACCTCCCTAGCCCCGGCCCAGCCCCCTGCAGGGGGGTGTTCCACAGCCAGCATTGCCCCCTCTGCGCCCCATCCCTGCTCTGAGCAGGGCCGTCTGGGCTTCCTGTGGATTGGCAGCTTATCTAGAAGCAGACCCAGCCATCACTACTACCTCCCCAGGAGGCGAGCGGGCGCAGCACCATGGAACGCATCTCCACGTGTTTTGTGGCCTGGTTACTGTCCATAATTCAACACTCGCCTGAAAGCTGTGAAGAAGAAGAAGAAGAAAAAAAAAAAAAGCTTGGCCTCTGGGCCAGGAGGAATCTTGTTACTCGGGGACCACTCAGGAACTCGCTGACAGTGGGATTCCAGGGGCTCTCACTTATACTAATCAGCATGACCTGGACCTGCTGGGCAGGATCCCAGGGCAGGACCTGCAGGTGGGCTCTGAAGTCTAGTCCAGCTGGGTGCCGGAAGACTTGAAGTGGAAGCATAGCTGAGACACTAGTGGCCAGGCGGCACTCAAAGGGTGTGAAACACCAGTGATGCTCCCCATTCCTCTTCAGGGCCTGTCCTCCCAGGGCAGAGGTTGAGTGAGTAGGTTTCGAAGAGTCTCTTAGTGTATGGTAGAACTGGCCAGAAGTCAAGGAAAAGGCTGGTTTGTATTCACCTTTCAGGGTGACTAGCCAGCCCAGAAACCACATCAATGACAGGAGGAGTTTTCACCTCGTGTTCTCAAACTACTGCTGGAGACAGCTAAGAACTCCTGGGCAGCACCCTTTCTGTCTACAATAAGCAGTTCCCATAGGTGCAGGAAGAAGTTGGGGTTAGCAAGAGGCCCTGCCCCTCTTGTTACTCACACCCCAGTGGGCTCCTCAATCAGAAGCCCAAGACATTTTGCCTAGAAGTAGATGAGTTCCGGAGAACAGTAGAACAGCGTGGCTTGTCACAGCCCTAGGGTCTGAGGCAGAGGAGCGGGAGTCTCAGCAATCCCTTGGCCTTTTCTTTGCGGCAGCTACTGCTCACCTTTCTATGTGCCTGGTCCAGGCAGCAACTTGGACTGCAGAAGAGGTGGTGGCAGAGTCTCAGAGCTGAGATGCCAAGAGAGACAGCTCCCTGAGCTGGGCTATCTGGTTTCTACCTCCCTGTTGGCTGGCCCAGCTCACCAGCTCCTAGCACAGCCTCCTGAGCCACACTCCAGGGCCACAGGCACTGGAAAGCCGGAGGTACCCTCCACCTTCGCTCCCAGAGCTCCAGGGATTCTTCAGCACAACTAGACTTGCCTCCTAAGTGTCCGTGAGCTCACACGCTATTTAACAAATTGGGAATGGGTTTGGGGTATTAATGCAATTTGTGGTGGTTTTATTGGGGGGAGGGGGAGTGATCCAGGAGAGTGGTTGCTGTTACTATTATCTTGACGTTCTGTCTGTGGGATGGTATGTGAAATACTGTACATAGATCTGATGAGTTTTGGGATCAGATGTCATCTCTGGCCAGAGTTTACTTGCTATATAGACTGTGCTTAACGTGTGGAGTTTGCAGGCTTGCTGTAGAGTTGAGCCCTGGACTCCCAGCAGTGGCACAGTTCAGCTGTGTGTGGCTGTGCCACAGCTGTCCCCAGCAAGCGTGGGAGTGGTGGGCCCAAGCTGGGCCATTCAGGCTAAATAAATGAAGCAGTTAACATAACCGACAACTGAGAGTGAGCAGGTGACCTTTCTTGGGGAGATAAATGTGGAGGGTCTCCTGCATACCAGGTTCAGGCCACAGGATCCCCCACTCCTCAGAGCAGGGACTTCCTCATGTTCCCACTTCATCCTCTCTTCCCTATGAAGATACCAACCTGCTCCAAAGAATGTGCCTGTCTACCTGAATCAGCCCTTTCCTTGGAACAGGTCTGTGGCCTCATATAGGCCCCACGAAACTGCTCTGCCTATCTCCCATCTGCTAGCTGAGTCATCCCTTAGGAATCCTACACTCTCGCCCTGAAATAGAAGAGGACTTCAATTAGTTCATAGAAAATTAAAATTCACATTTATTTTGTGCAAAAAAATTTTTTGAACCCATGCATAGTTTATTTATACTAATTTCCCATGAACTTTTTAAAGACTGCCCTATACCTACGGATATTTCTACAGCCTGGGTGTCTGCAGTTTCTGCAGGACTGGGTGTCATCCTTATAATGGGGAGAAATGAATGCAAGTCAGTCCACCCCTTGTATTTCCCTGCAAGTGCTTGAGAGGAGACAGCTTATCTCTTTGAACTTCTGCACATGAGTGACAATCATTAAGCAGTATGATACTATCTAGTGGGGTCCTGGGTGTGATAAAATTCATAACCCCAAAAATGATTTCTCCTAAGCTTTCCCAAAGCTTGAGGAATGCAATTTAAGGCAGAATTTGGTACCTGAAAAAAACTGATGACCTGGGTGCCCATTTGCAGGACCACAGAGCCGTCTCTGGGCATGGACAGAGGACACTGTATCAGTAAGGCTGAGAACCTGTTGCTGAAACCCCATGTTAAAAGTCCAGGAAAGACTACCATTAGTAAGTTTCCTTCAGAGCCCTAGGAGTCATTCCACAGGGACCTTCCTCAGTCCAGAGCAGCTCCAGGCAGCCCAGCAACCCTTCCCCTTCTGTACACCATCACTCCTTGGGCTGCTACAGCTCTATCCCCACCTTCCTTGTCTTCAGGCCCTGAGAAGGCTGTCTGGATGGTTTTTTATTTTGTTTTTTAAGAGGTTTTTTGCCTTAGGGCACTAGCACTAGCCAAACAGATTTTGAGCATGCACACATACCCAGCATGATTTTCAAGCCACCAGGTCCAGGACTCAAACCAGTCGGCCATGTAGGAGTCCAGTGATGTAACCGCTACACCATCTGCCTGCCCCATGGATGTTCATTTTAACTGCATCCACCTGGGAAGTGTGGACCGCTTGAGAGGACCAGCGTTGGCCAACCACCTCCTTGGGACATCATACACATATCCTTCCTATAGCTTCAACTTGAAAGATTGCAGGTGCTGATACAATGAGGAGGCTGCAGTTACCAGCTTCCAGTGACAGGCCAGGGTGAATGAAGAGAAGGCCAGAGCTCGCCATCTGAGGTGCTGACAGAGTAATCTGAAACTTCCCAACCTGTGCACAAAAAACTTGGCAACATGGAGTCATTTTTTTTCTTTTAATAAGTCAAATGTAGAGCAATTTCCCGCACTTTATACACAGGTGTCAGAATGAGGTATATAAAACATGTACACAGAAAAATGCTTTTGTAAAAAAGTAGAAACCAGTAATGTTCTTTTCTCCAATGTCACCTATACCAAGGGACCCCTGAGGTCCAGATCCCCTCAACAAATAGCTCTAGGACAGCCTGCTGAAGGGAATGGGCCCCACTAACCCCGCTCCACGTCAGGCCGTGGAAAGACTGGGAAGGAACCACTGTGGCTGGGGAGTACTGCCAAGGCTTCCAGTGTGACGTCAGAGCCTCTGGGCCCTGCTGAGCCACTAGCACAGTGCGGTGGAGGATGGCCTACTTGGGAAGCCCAGCTCCTGGCCAAGCCAGTACTTTGCTCTGTGACCCTGGGCAATCACTTCCCTCTCTGGGTCCCTGTAGGCTTGAAGAACCCTACGGCCCTTTCCAATGGTTCAGTGATTGTTTTACAAGTTAGGGGTTGTGACCCTAGCCCTACTGTCCCCCGAGAAGGCACTGGCCTGGATGCCCCAGGACCGCCTGCAAACAAGCCCACTATAGGGGCAAGCCCTGCATGCTTTATAACCTTGCCTCTGAGCTTAGTTTCCAGGCAAACCTCTCAGATGCAGCTCACACAGCCCCATGGTGGGAAATGCAGAAGTTCAAAGAGACAAGCTGTCTCCTCTCAAGCACTTGCAGGTAAATACATGGATGAGCTAGCTGCTTTCTTACCCTTGTGCAAAATGAAGAGAGGTCACTTGGACCCCTGAAAAGAGACTGTCTGGGGCACCCCAGTCCACTTCTGCCCCTGTGGCCTAACGGAGGAGTGGACCTTTCTCTACCCTCTTCCCTAAGTGGAATGTTCAGTGCAATTCTTCCCTTCCTTTCCTTATTAAGCAGGAAGAGCCCGGGGCCCAGGCCTGGCCCACGGTTGTCAAGGCACATCAATGCCGGCGAGCTGGAGCACGCCCAGCAGCTTCCAGCCTGGATCCCCGTTCTCAGCCCAAAGTTCTGACTTTTGTACAAACTCACTTCTGGTTCTCAGCAGTCAGTAGGGAGTTCCAACCCCAAATATTTAAAAAAACTAAATATGTTTTTTCAAGGTTGCCCCTTGACCTTAACTATGAATAACAGTGTATGCCATTCGAGCCCACAGAGAACAAATGGACAGGCAGAGACTGAGACTGTCTTAGATAGTAAAGCACAGAAGAGCCTGGGGGAGCTCCCTGTCTGTCCCTGGTTCAGTTCCAGGGACAGAGTCAGGAAGCCCTTGGCGGAGCACCACTGTGGGAGCTGCCACTACTCCTACTAGCGAAATCCTGCTCCAAGGAGTGGAGAAGGAGCACTAGTAGGGCCTTACCCCAGCCTTGCCCTCCACTCACAGTGTCAACTGCTTCTTGTCAGTTATTAGGATCCAAAAAAAAAAAAAAAAAAAGTAGGAATCAGGTTGGCACCACAACACAAAGTGTAGATCACCCCCGGCAACAGGGGGATGGGTTGTCCTGTACCAGCGTCTGCTTGGGCTCCTGCCCATTGATGGCACTCAGGCCCCCGGAGTACCAGCCTGGTCCATAAGGGGGGTGCTGCCTTCCTGAAGTTCTACTGGTGTCTGGCTGGCATGGACCACGATAGTCTTCTCGTCCACGATCTCACAGGTGGGGTTGGTGAAGGCAGACAAGGGCAGGGTGATTCGCTGCATCTCCCTCTCGCACACTTTCTGCTCATGCTGCTCCTTCAAATCCTTCCCCCTGGCAGAAAAAAAAAAAAAAAGGCAAAGCATTCAGGCCATGCCTCCTGCAGGGTTTTGCTCATTAAATAACATCCCAAGGCCCAGACAGGACTGAAGGCCTTGTCATAGTCACAGCAAATCAGTAGCTAAGCCAGGTTTGAGCCCAGGTTCAGGATACTAACTACATTTCTGTCCTACCAGACTGCCTCCTACCTCTCCAGTCTCTGCTTCCCCATCTATAAAACAGGGGTGAGAGCAGTACTAACCTCACACAGCTGCAGGAGGGCTCAATGGAGATAAACGCAGAAGAGACTCGTGTGTCGTGCACACACACACCGTATGCACTAGAGGGCAGGTGTGCTCACCAGAGAGACAGGAGAAAGCACTCCCCGTAGCAAATGGTCATGCCACAATCCTTTCTCTATTTCCTCTTCCTTTTGGAACTTTAGAAACACACATACACACCAACATGTTTCTCAAGCCCCTGGGTCTGAGATAAACTGCAGGATCAGTCACGTGGGATCTTGCTGCCTTAAATACCAGGCCACACAGCTGTCCTGTAAAGAGACTCTTAAAGCAAGTTTTGTTCTTCCAGCCAATGGTTTCAAGAGACCCAAAGAACTATCCTGGCTTTGGCCCTAACTCATAAAGTCTAACTGACTATTTTGCTGTGAGACAGGCTTTTTAATCTTAAATTCCCGAAAGGTGTAAGGTGAAAATGAACTATCCCCAACCCATGCAGGGGACAAAAGGGACTCTGAGGGCTGCTTAGGTCAGTGGGAAACAATGAGACAATGACCATCCAACTGCTCAGAGTTTTCATATGCCTTTGAATTCTCGTGATACTCAGTAACCCAATCAGGCCATCACGTTACTCCATTTTATTCTTAAGGAGCGCTCACTCCATGTTGAGAACTTTACATACGTTATTTCACTTCATTCTCAGCTCAGTCTTAAGAATTAGGTCTTACTCATTTTATAGACAAGGAAATGGTCCTGAGAAATTAAGGAACTCAGGGCTGGCAGGTGGTGTGGTGGTTAAGGCACTGGATTCCCACATTGTTGACCACAGTTTGAATCCTGGACTTAGTGACTTGTTTTCTCACTTTTCCCCTCTCTCTCTAGTCAAATTAAAAAATAAAAATAAAGTTAAATAAATAATTCTAAAAAAAAAAAAAAAACAGAAAAAGTTAAGGAATTCTTCAAGGATGTAGTGGGCTCAACCCCAAATGTGTTAAGACTCTAGCTGATGCTCAAGAAGTTCTGACCTGATCAGATTTACCCAACAAAAACTGGTGGGGCAAGAACTCAAACCTAGTCTTCTGATCGGACATGGAAGGCCTTTCCCACTGTAATGTGCCACCCCCACTACTGAACAGAGAACTGGGTGAGTGCCCAGTACTAGACACCAGAACCAGCATCTTGGACCTTACTAAGACCCAGGGCAGCATCCTCTGAAGCCAGCAACTAGACACTCGGGCTCAGCTGTCTGAGGAAATCTTTCTGGAAAGAGCCTTGAAATGAGCAACTGATGGATGACTTGGTAAAACAGCACAGGGCCCTGCTTCAGAGCTCCTCAGGGACATGGCCAAGATCAGAAGATTATGCATCCATTATGATGTGAACTACAATGACAAAAGCCTCCAGAGACTGGGGAAGAAAATTGGCAAAATGGGGTGGGAGGGGAGGGCAAGAGAGGAATAGTCTGTACAAGTGCCTCTGCACTGTCTTTAAATCACCCATTTTGCTTATGTTCTAGTACCAGCTCAGGCTTAGCTGTATGTCAGTTTTTTGAGAGAGAGATTTTTTTTTTGCTACAGGGCACATGCACTCACCAGAGAGACAGAGAAAGACAGAGAGACAGAAAGTGAGAAATCACCCCCCATGGGAGATGGCCATGCTGCAATCCCTTCTCCTCCATCTCCTCTTGAGATTTTGGGCATGCACCAACATGCACCAGTGTGAGGTTAAAGCTGCTGGGTCCAAGGGATCAGCAGCTGGCATAATGGCTATGTCACCAGACTCCCATGTAGTCGACCATGGTTCGAGTCCTGGACCCAGTGGCTTAAACTCATGCCGGCCCATGTGCGTGCATGCTCAAGATCCCGAGAGGAGAATGAAGAAGGATCGCAGCTTGGCAATCCCCCCTGGGGGGTGATTTCTTGCTCTCTATCTCTGTCTGTCTTTCTGGCAAGCGTACACACCCTATAGCAAAAACCTCTCAAAAAAAAAAAAAAAAAAAAAAAAACTGCTGGGTCCAGGACTCGACCCATAGTCAACTAAGTTGGAGTCCAGCAATGAAACTATTACTCCATCTGCTGATCCCTACCTTTTCTTTTTTAAAGAGGTTTTTGCCTTAGGGCATGTGCGCTTGCCAGACAGAGACAGAAACAGTGAGAAGGAAAGTGAGAAATCACCCCTCACCCCTCAGGGGGCCAGCCACACCATAATCCCTTCTCCATTCTCCCAGGATCTTGGGCACACATGTACACACGCCCAGTGTAATTTCCAGGACACAAACCACAGTTGACCGTGGGGGAGTCCAGCGACCTAACCACTATGCCATTATGCCATTTGCTGGCCCCAGCTATATGACATATTAAAGCAGCCTCTGAGACTTGTTTTCTTCATCTGTAAGATGGGGATAGTATCTGTCACCAAATACGGTAATGCATGTGAAAACATCCTGAAATAGTGAAACTACTGTAAAAACTCACAAGAGGTTATGATTTGCTCTAAATATGATTTGCCTCTCCAAACAATGTTATCATAACTTGGTTTACCAAGGACATTCTCCTACTGACCAGCCAAGACAAGTATTGTTTGTGTGACCTAAGTAATCTCCTCCTCTCTGGACCTTAATTTCATCATCTGTAAAACAGGAGTTGGATTTAATAATCTCCAAGGCCCTGACACTCTGTAAGATCCCGCACTTGAGCTGTACTCTGATTCCCTATCTCTCACTGTAAGGTCACAGGAGGCAAATTTGTGAGCTCATCCTCCTTAGCCACCCTGGGGGATGGGATGACTAAGTTTCTGAATGTGCAAACCCAAGGCTTCTGCCCAGTCTTTCTCATTAGTCTCTGTACTGAATAACACCAGCTCCTAGAGCACCAGAGGGGAAATGGATGGACAGTGTCCATGGGGACAGGATCATCTAGACCAAGGGCATCCCACTCACATTCTGAGATTCACTAGTTACAGCCACTGCCACAAAGGAAAAAAACACCTACCTCCACAACGAAACAAAAAGCCAGATTCTTCATTGCCAGTGCTGGGAAAAACATGGAGGTCTGAACTTAATTTTATTAAGGGAGCTCACAAGCTAATAGACAACCAAAAGGCAATTTACAAAAGAAATGGAATACATGAGTATCAGGTCTTTTGCTAAGACCTGAATTTCAGAATCTAAGGGGCTGGAGGAAAAGGAAAAATCTGTAACTCATCCTTCCTGAGTACCTACTAAGGTACCAGGAAATGACCTTCCCATCTGCAATGAGAAGAGTTATTTACGTACCTACTGGAAGCCACACTTCATATATGCACTAGCTTCTTTTTTTTTGGAGAGGTTTTTGCCATAGGGCGCGTGCGCTCGCCAGAGAGAGAGAGGGACAGAGAGACAGAAAGCGAGAAATCACCCCCCGGGGGGGATGACCACACCGCAATCCCTTCTCCTCCATTCTCCTCGCGGGATCTTGGGCACGCACGCACACGCGCCCGGTGCGAGTTTTAAGCCACCAGGTCCAGGACGTGAACCATGGTCGACTACGTGTGAGTCCAGCGACATAGCCATTACGATAACTGCTGGTCCCCAGAACCCTTTATAACTTTGTGGTCCTTTTTTTTTTTTTTTTTTTTTAGGAATTATTTAATTTTGTGCCAGCAGGTGGTGTGGTGGTTAAGGCACTGGACTCCCACATGGCTGATCACAGTTTGAGTTCTGGACTTGGCAGCTTGCTTTCTCACTTTCTCTCTCTCTCTCATTCTCTCTCTCTCTGTGTTTCACTCCGTCCCTCTCTGGTCAGGTATAAATAAATAAATAAAGTTAAATAAAGTAATTATTTTTAAAAAGAATTAGTTATTATTATTACTATTATTTTTAATATGCTATAGAGCTTGTTTGCTCACCAGGGACAGAGAGAGACAGAGAAAGAGAGAAGTGAGAAAGCAAGCCACCAGGTCCAGGACTTGAACAATGGTTGGCCATGTGGGAGTCCAGCACCTTCACCACCATGCCACCTCCCAGCCCCTCTGTACTAGCTTTTAATTTCCACACTAACCTTGCAATATATATTATCCCCATTTTATAGATGAAGAAACTGAGGCTTTGGAGTCTGACTCTTGAACTTACTCAGCTCCCTCCTTTACTATGCATCTTGGCTATGGCCAGCTGAAATGCTGAAAATTGTCAGGCTGCATCATACACGAGTCTTTAGGGGAAAAAAATCAATTCGTATTAATGGGGCAGAGCAGGGCTAGAAGAGCAGCCATGGGTAAAGGAAGCAGATGCTGCCACTAGTCTGGATTAGTCCCATCCATTTAGAAGCCTGGAAGCACACTCAACCGTACATGCCTGCTGTTAATGGCACCTGTGAGTCCTGGAGACGCAGTGGCTGCCCCAGCTCCTTTGGGAAGACCTGAGAGTGGCAACCAAGCCTGCTGCACTGACCATCAAGCAGCCCGGCACCACATCAAGGCCTTGGAGGTGGGGGGCAGCCAGGCTGTTGACTAGCAGCCAAGAAAAAAACAAAAGGCTTATTCATTGACTCAGCTCCTCTCCTAAGGGGCTTGGGGGTGGTGTGGACTTACAGTTTTTCCCTCCCCCTTTTTTATCGAAAATAAAAGCTCCCTCCAGAGCTAGTACAGACATTGCACTTAGAGCAGGGACTGGGAGCTGCTCTGTTGCAGACTGGCCATCTGAACCTCATGGCTTAGACTACTAAGACAAAGACCCAGCCAAGCTGAGCTCCCTCCTGCCCCCACCTGCCCCATTTCCTCCCCTGAGCGGAAGCCTGGTGCCTGTTCCCCACTTCCCAGCCAGGGTAAATATTCTTCCCATGAGCCAAGCCTCATGGCCTTTGGCAGAGTTCAAAGTCTGTAACAATTACCCTGACTGCTCCTGGGTCAGGATCGGGAGCCGGGCTAGACAGAGAGAGCAGGTGTAGATGGAGCTGCCCCTGACTTCTCTCTCCCAGGGTGATGGAAGCTCTGCGGACCTCCTTGAGGCAACACGGGTTTCTTCAGTTATTATATAATCCTGAGCCACTGCTATTTTCCCAGACAGAAGCAATGCTGTGCCACGCTGCTGCTCAGGACAAGTTCCCCAAAGCAGCTCTGCATTATGAACACTGATGGTATGCCCAAACTAGTTTCATCCTCAACAAATCTATGGTTTCTGTCAGGATCTCAGATCTGAGAAAGCAGATATAGAGAAGTCAAATCATTTATTCAAGCAAACGGCAGAGCTGGGTTTGAAGCCACTACTGCATAAAGTCACTTCCAGGCAATGTCTTTTTAGGAAGTATTAGAGCTGGAAGAACCACTACATATAACCGCCTCCTCCTACACTACTTTACAGATGAGGACACTGAGGCCCACAGAAGGTAAATAACTTGTCCAGTGTCATTTCCGGTGGCAGTTCCAAAACCAGATCTTGGTTCTTGGCCTGGTTCTGAATGCTACCATTTTTTTAAAAAAAGTTTCCATTTACTGTCCTTTGCAATTCAAAGCAAATTTACATGAAGCTAGACAGACTTTTAGAGACACTAATGATCCTTAGACACACCTTAACTAACTGTGCAGCTTAGACATGGTTCTTAACTTACAGGTTTCAGCTCCTCACTGTAAAACAGTGAAAAACGCTCCTAGTGTGGTAGTGAGGCTTAGGAGATCTTTCAAGAAGAATACTCAATAGATCTTTTCTTGTTAAGAAAGCAAGAAATAAATGCTGATTATTGTGATTGTTACCTGATCGACATTCTGTTTATATATAGTACTTAGAATAATTTTAGGAGGGTAGCTATATCCCCATTTAATAGACAAGATATAAATATTCAGTGTAAAGCTCTCTACAGGACAGTGTTCTCTGACTCTGGGAAGAGATGGCAGTTGAGAGCTTGTCTCTAGCCCACATGTGGTTTCCTGTTGTACAGTCTGTTCTTAGAGCACTTTTACTAAGGAAAGGGGCGGTCCAGGGTTAGTGATGGGGAGTCTGGTGACTTGGTGTGTTGCTCTGAGTTTACAAGAAAGTAAATACTGACTGGGACCAGCAGCTGGTGTAATGGCTATGTTGCTGGACTCCCATGTAGTTGACTGCGGTTTGAGTCCCGGACCCAGTGGCTTAAACTCACACCAGGCATGTATGCATGCGTGCCCAAGATCCTGAGAGGAGAATGGAGGAGAAAGGATTGTGGCATGGCTATCCCCCCGGGGGGTGATTTCTCACTTTCTATCTCTGTTTCTCTCTGTCTTTCTAGCAAGTGCACAATCCCTATAGCAAAAACCTCTCCAAAAATAAATAAATAAAATAAATACTGGGGTCAGGGCAGTGTCCCATGACAGCTTAGAGGAGCAAATGTAGAAGAAAAAGATGTTGCTTCCACAGTGGGTACCAGAACTGAGCTTGGAATTAAGAACGCTTGTCAGTTCAAGCACCTATTGATAGAAGGCCTAGCAACTCACATGACTGGAAGAGAACCAAATGTTTTTCAGTGGTTGAGAAAGGAGGAACTATTTCAAGGACTAAACTCAGTCAACATGGTTTGGGTCTATGAATTGTAGAAGACCAGGGCCACTACATTATGAACAAGCAGGTGTCCCTGGGCCTGCCTTGTAAACCAGCCCTGACTGTAGGCAACGACTTCAGACTGGGGGATCAGAATGCCCTCTTAGATCAGTATTTGCCCTCTGGGGACCTCTGCTTCCTGAATCACAGAAAATCAGACAGAACAGGGCTAAGAGAACAATAGGTACAGTACTCAGATTTTATGGGAAAGAAAAACAGCTATCATTTACTGACCATTTACTGTGTCCCTGAGCTAAATAGTCACATACCTTAGCCCCACACAAATGCTGTGGAGTAGGAAAAAGAAGACATTTGCACAGTCACACAGTTAGAAGCAGGGACTGGGATTTGGGGTATGTACACGCACACACGAAGAAGGGATTGCTGCATGGCCATCACCCTGGAGGTGATTTCTCACTGTCTTTGTCTCTCTCTAGCAAGCACACGCACCCTATGCCAAAAGCCTTTCAAATAAAACAAGACAAAACAAAACTAGGACTTCTCTCCACCAAATGCTGGCTGTGTAACTTTTGCCAAGGTACATAGCATCTCTTCCCTTAGTTTCCTCATCAGGGAATCCCGACAGTAATTCCCACGTAAGGATGACTGTGAGAACTGAGTGAGTGGAAGCATATAAAGTGTTCAAAGCAATGTCTGGCATATGGTAAATGTTCACTACTGCTATTGTTATTATTACTGAACACTCCCCCTTTTTCATCTATAAAATGATGAGGTTGACTACAATACTTTTAAGGACACCCTAAGTTTACATAATGCCAGATGACCCACTGGAGCTGTGAGCTCAGACATGGCCCTCACCACTGGAAAATGCAGTCCACCATGTCACTTCCCTTACAAGGGAAGACTTCTCAGACTGTAGAGGACAAATATGACAGGCACTTGGGGCTGGAAGTCAGATCTCCTTATTTCACCTAAGAATTTTCCAGAGTCAGCAGTGTTAATAAAAAATGAATGTGACTCTTGCTTATCAACATGCATCTGTCACTGACTGAAAGCCTTCTTCCACATGGCATCTCAGGGGACCTTTCAAAATAAGCATTCCTCCTCCTGCTGTCCTAGTCACAGGTCAAGTCCCTAAGCTTCCCAGTCTCTTTGGCTTTCTCATTTGTCATGAGAAATGGCAGACTCTATTGAACTCACTTTTGTCTTTCTATCTTAGAGATCCCATTGCTTATGGAAATTTAAGCCCAAATTGCAAAACCAGTGGCTGGGAAATTTTTCTAGTATCAGAATTTTTGTTCAGCCTGATTTCTGCAACTCCACATACTTCCATATAAGGCATACTGGTTTAGACAGCAGGGAATTTGGTACCAAAAAAAACTGGGTTTTGGGCCAGGAGATGGCATGGTGGCTAAGGTGCTGGACACCTACATGGCCAACTACAGTTTGAGTCACGCCAGGTTGAAAATCATGTGTGTGTGCGTACATGCCCAAAATCCCAGGAAGAAAATTAAGAAGGGATTGCTGCATGGCCATCACCCTGGGAGGTGTTTTCTCACTTTCTTTCTCACTGTCTTTGTCTCTCTCCAGAAAGCACATGCACCTTATGTCAAAAGCCTTAAAAAAAATGGATATGGGGGCCAGATGGGGGCCCAGAGGTAATTCAACTGGACTTGCATAGCAAAGTTCCAAGTTGACATCGTGAGACCTTCCTAGGCACATTCACACATACCTATAATCTAGATTAGCTGAGTTTGAGGGTTGATCAGGGTGTGGGGACCCTGTTGTGAGTGTCTCTCTTTCTCTTGGTCTCTCTCTCACGGAAGAAGTAAATAAACCTTAAAAAAAAAAAAAAAAAAAAAAGCTGGGGACCAGCAAATGGCATGGTGGTTCAGGTGCTAGACACTCCCACATCGCCAACCATGATTCAAGTCTTGGACCTGGTGGCTTCCTTTCTCACATTACCTCTCTCTCTCTCTGGTCAAATTAAAATAAATAAATGAATAAATAAAATTAAATAAAATAATTCTTTAAAAAAATAAAAGCTGGTGGGAACTAGCAGTTAGCATAATGGCTATGTCACTAGAATCCCACATAGTCGACCACGGTTCGCGTCCTGGACTCGGTGGCTTACAACTCACGCCGGGTGCGTGTGCGTGCGTGCCCAAGATCCCGAGAGGAGAATGGAGGAGAAGGGATTGCGGCGTGACCATCCCCCCTGGGTGGTGATTTCTCGCTTTCTGTCTCTATGTCTCTCTTTGTCTGTCTGGAGAGTGCACGTGCCCTATAGCGAAAACCTCTCCAATAAATAAATAAATAAATAAATAAATAAATAAAAGCTGGATTTGAACCCAGGTTAGTGTGACATGAAGCAAGTCACTTCACCTCTCTGACAAAGGCATTTTCATCTGCAAAAATGGAGAAGAACCCCCAACTTCACAAAGCTCTGGGGTGAGGATTAAAAGGCATTGAAGTTAAAGGTCTGTCCAAGGTTGCTTGGAAGAGACTATAACCAAGGCTCTACCTCTTGAGCTGGCTTTCCTTCTTTTAACACCTCACTTGATTTTGTGTAAGAAAACCACCTAACAGTTTGCTTTGACTGTGTATTTTCCTCCCCACACCCTCTCAAGACCCCAGAAGAAAAGTCACTGACCTCTTGTAGGTGTAGCCCAAGATAATGCCAGCGCCAATAGCAATAATGATCACCATCATGGTAATGCCCAGGACATAGCCTGTCAAGGACAAGACACAAGGTCCCATTAGCCACATCCCAGACCATGAACAAATGACATTTTGATGAATCCAAACAAGGAGGGGTGAGAGAGAGTCCTACCCAGAGTTCCCAGGTCTTTTTTCTCCTTGGAGTTAATCCGGACCCGCTGGCTGATCCCAATCACTGGCTGCACAGCTGCTGCCTCACTCCGAGCGGGCAGGGCGTTGGCAGGAGCAAATACTTGCTCCTCATCTTTGGGTGACACTTTGGACACCTCTTCGGTTTCTGTGGTGGAAGGTGGCAGGGCCTGGGAAGTGGTCTCTGAAGATAAAGGGGGAAATAGCTCTCATTAGAGAATGCTCTGAGTGAATTCCATGGCTAAACTTGGCCCAAGTGTTGGGGGAGCTGAAGGGGGGTCCACACTGGTGAGAATGCCCCCCCACGCACAATGAAATCAAACCCTGTCCGAGGCAAAAATCAGACCTCAGAGGGCTGCACCATCGCTGGGTCAAGGAGGGCCTCTCCTTAACCCATATCTTCATCTCCAAATCCTTGCTATCTTCCCAGGTCCAGCTTGGTCGCCCTTTTCTCCAGGGAGTCCCCCCCTACCCGACCTTCATGTCAGGAGGTAATCCACGACTCTTCTGAGCAGCTCACGTTTACTGGGTGCAAACCCTGTGTGAAGTATTTTACCTTGACTATCTCACTTAATTTATCTTACCGCCTTGGGAGCAGCAAGCCTGCACTCTGAAGTCTAAGAAACTTGGACTCAGATTTGGACCCTGCCATTGCCTGTGGGAAATCGCTGAGCTTCTCTGAGGCTCAGATCCCCCAAACAGCTTCTTCCTAGAGGGAGTTGTGACCGGGGGGCCTAGCACACAGCAGACTCTCCACAAACGGTTAGTAAACGCTGAGGAGTTCGCCAAGGGCCACACCTCGGGGCGCGCGGCGGAAGGGCCGGCAGTCGCCTCCTACGGTTGTTTACAAGCACTCGCGGAGGATGAGCTCACTCGGAGCGGCAGCGCTGGCCAATGGGCTTCGGGCCCCGCGGCCTGGAGACAGCCCTGGCCAATCGGACGGCACGGGGGCGGAGCGGGGCCGCCCGGCGTCTCCGGCCGCACGTGCGC